TAAAGGAAATTCTCCTTTTGAGCATTTTCTCTTTCCAGGACGATTTTAATCACAGCCAAAGACCTGCTTTATTTATCCCTGTCCCTAAATTTTTCCCAGTCTCCTTCTGGCCTCTCTGACTTGCGGCATTCGAGATGCGGAGAGGAGGCGGTTTTTCCACCCAAACACCCAACCGCGGTCCTTCCTCCTAAGCCAAAACCGTTATAAGAGAATTCTTCTACCAGGGGAAAAAAGGCAGGAGATGCTTTGTATGGAACAGGAAGAGTTAACCCTCAGCTATCCCCACCTCCACAGCAGAGAATCGCATCGGGTAGCCCGCATTCATACCCCACCCACCACTAACAAATATACGGTCATTGAAAACATCAACAAAAACAACAAAATCCGGTTGGTTGGTTGGTTGGCTTTGATTCTCAACATCTGGGTAACAAGCTGAAGTCTTCTTTTTAGTCCGGAGGAGGCAAAGGGACTTTAGAGGGTCTATTTCTGAGAGAATGGCTTTTAGAGGCTTCCATCCATTCCATCCTTCCATTCTGGCACAATTTTTTTTTCTCCTAACCACCGAGAAAGGAAAGGAAATGGGGAAAAAAAACGTTTTAAGCTAATTCCCAGCATTTCTATTTACTTGTCTGTCTGGTTCCGGCATCTTTCCACCACGAGCAAGATATATTTGCACTTGCTCTGAACATTTTTTTTTTTTTCACTTTAATCCCTGAAAAAAACCCAGCGTTGCACTAACATTTCTTTCCTGCGGTCCCTTCGTCAAAAGGAAAACAAAAACCAGCAAGTACCCAAGCCGTAAGGGAGGGGATGGAGAAACAATCGTCCAGCCGAGACCCGAGTCCTCCATTCTCTTCTCTCCGCTCTTGCTCATCCTTTCTTTACGTTCCTCTACCAAAGCTCGCCTCCTTTTTTTCCCCCTCCGGAATAAGTCCTTTGAAAGTACAGAAATAACAAGTCCGAAGGTGGAGATGAGTGAAAGGGCAGTTTTCTGGCAATCGGCGGCAGCTTAAAAATCGTCTCGTCTCCAACGAGCTCGCTCCAAGAAGAAGGCGGCACTCGTTTCGGGCAGGCGGAATGGGGGTTGGGGAAGAGGGGGGAAATTGCAGAAAATTCGCATACGCGTTTCAAATATATATATTTATATTTAGCGCCCGTCGATTGCTATGTTGCTATCGAGCGTCCTAATATAAACGCTTCGAGCCCTCCCAACCTTTTTATTTGCTACCCGTAAAAAGCCCTTTTCACTCTCGGTACCCTGGAATGAACTGCTTCGTTATCCCAGAGTGTTTAAATGTTCGTGAAAATAGGGGGAAAAGGGCTGTCCGAATGTCTCTGGGTTTATGGCTCGCCGATCGAGAGGACCCGTTCTCCTTTCGGACACAAGGGGTCGCTGTTGCGATCGCCTGAAGGCCAAACTCAAAACAGCATTAAAAACCTCCCCTTTCCCGGCGTGGCTATAGTAATGATGCCGGAGGTGGTGGGAAGAATTCAAGGCACCAATATATATACATGGAATAAAAACACGAGCCTCGTATGTGCTTCAAACGCTGTTGGATCCAGAGTAGAAGTCTAGAATGGGGGGGGGGGGGGGGCAAGGGGGGGGGGGGGGAAACGGCTCGTGACACTAAAGGGACAATCCAAAGAGCCTCTTTGCAAAGATTTGCACAGTCTCAGAGCCGAGCGTGAATGCAGAAAACGTTCTGCATAGACGTAGGGATGCTACACTAACAAGACTTTTTCCAACCTTTGTATTATTATTATTATTTTTAAATTTGATTTATATGCCGCCCTTCTCCGGAGACTCAGGGCGGCTTACAATGCGTTAAGCAATAGCCTTCATTCTTTTGTATATTTTATACAAAGTCAGCTTATTGCCCCCACAAACCGGGTCCTCATTTCACCTACCTTAGAAAGGATGGAAGGCTGAGTCAACCTTGAGCCTTGGAGAGATTCGAACCAGCAAAAATTGCAGGCAGCTGTGTTAATAACAGGGTGCACTAAACCACTGTACTATCAAGGCTCTTTTATTATTATTCCCTAACGGGGCCAAGGAAGGAAAAATTGAGCACTCTGCTAGAACTAGGCAGAGGCTTCTTAAAAGAGAATCTCAGTGAATCGATTGGGACCTAAACGCTGAAATGAAACCGGGGAATATGGGACTAGTCATTCAGGTACGACTCTAAACCAGGTTGGGGGACAGGTGAATTAAAGCAAAGGCGCTTCCTTTTACCTCCGAGAACCCGAACGGCTGGCCTTTTCCCCCGCATTGTGCCTTTAAAGGAGAAGGCGGAGAGCAAGACGTCCCCCCCTCCCTCTTTAATACGCCCCCTCGGTTTTCCTCTGCAGAGTTTCCAGGGTACTTAAAGGTTCGCCCCGTTTCCCATCCTTGCCTAAGGAATCCCTGATGGTGCTTCAGCTTCCTAGTCAGAAAATCCGAGGAGTCGTTTCTGAGCATGTCGAGTTGAAGCTCGTGGGTGGGTTAGGTTGGCATTTATTTTGGTGCAATTATCTGGCATGAAAGGCCCCTCCTTCTTTGGTACGCTTTACGGTGTCAGCGTACCAAGCCCCCCTGGATTTGGGTCCCCGCGCCTAAACCATTAGCTTTACTCATCTTGCTTGCTGTTGCTTTACAGACTAAACCTAGTAATGGGGGGAGTAAAGGGGAGGGGAGGAGAGTGAAAAAAACTATGCTCCTGTCCGCCTCTTTCCTGGATGCGATGAAATTCATCCCGACTACCTGCCCCCCCCCCACACCATCCGCCACCGTGAATGCTGAATATACGAGCCATATTTGTTTATAGCCCAAGTTCGCCTTCTGACCTTCTCAAAGGATCATTTTCAAGACGGTCAACTGAGTAGAAGCTCCGCGCCGCTGGACGCTGCATTCTTCCTCCCCTTTTGTTTTTGTTTTTTTTCAGCCGAAGTTGAAAAGCGGGTTAGCTCTACTTCTTAGAAACCTCAGGAACAACAAGCGCGGCAACTTTCAAGCGATGCTGTTGGTCGTTTTGGTTTAGAACGTGTTTAAAATTCACGTGCATCAGTAACAAGGAAGGTTGGACGTCACGTACGCATTATTTTTATTTTTATTATTATTATTTTTACATTTAGGCTCCTGGAAAGCTTTGGGGGAGTAGTTGGTAAATGGGGTGGTTTTATTTTCTAAAGCTGGACATGAGCTGGGTTACCCCGATTCCCCTCCATCGAGCCGAACCACTCCAGAAAGAGACCCAACTTCGTATACAGACTATATACTTTCCTTCTTTGTTGATTCCTTTTTTCCCCCGTCTCTTTTGAGAAAACGCTTTTGAAAGGTAGGCAAGTAAAGGAGGTTGAGAGCACCGATCCTGAAGTCTTGTCCAACCGCTGGGTGGAATCCCGCAACGTTAAAAAATAAAATAAAATAAAATTTCCCTAAACGTTTAGTCATCAAAAAGTCCACTTAGACTGAAATCGTTGGAGGGAAGAAGGGCCTGGGAGCAAATAGTGCGTGTATTACAGGGGTCTGTGCCCGCAGGAAGGAGTCGAAAGTTAGAATATGAGCTAATAAACTTTCTACTAAGAGACTATAAACCGAACCTCACTTCTTGCACTCACTTAACAGGATGATTCTATGCCGTGTCGGGAGAAATCAATGCCCACCTTCCCAAGGTGAGTGGTAGCACTTCCCAAAGTAGTGATTTATAAAGTCTTACAGCGTCACCCAACCATCACTGTGTCGATAAAACAGTAGCTCGGATGTGCTTTGTACTTTGTATCACCCAAAAGGATTCATCACTATATTTCATTCAACATGAACTGGGCAAAGTACCGTTTGTATTTTCTACCTGTGTTTAGGATCAGGTGGCATTAGCCTTACTAAGCGATGAAGATTAGATTCGAGTCTCGATGTAAGACTCCAGTGGCGTTTCCACACACATAGACTTTGACATAAACATAGACTCACGTAGAGATTGTCTAGAAGTCATTATTAATCGTGGGGACGGAAACGGCCTTGCAAGATTTTCACACCTCCTAATGGGAAGCTGAAATGGTAAAGTACTTCCAGGTTCCTACCTACAGCAAAAGCAATAGTTGGGAAATAGAAGTACCAGTAGGTTTGGTTGGGGAAGGTTCCTGTAAAAATCTACAGGCAACACACAATAGCAGTAGTTGTAATATGATTTCCCTTCAGCAGAGTAAGGAAGGGAGGAAATTTTTCAGTCTAGCTTTTTCCCATCCGCTTACTCCAGGAGTAAATTCCATTGAAATTCTAGTGGGGGGGGGGGATTGTTACCTTCATAAAAACGGCTAGCGTGGGACCAGGGTGGTGGTGAGAAACGCACAACTTCCAAGTGTTAAACACCTGCGAGTAGCTGCGGTACTCCCGCCTTCCCTTCGACGTCTGTGTCACCACTACGAGAATGGGGAAGCCGCAAGAAAGAAACGAGGGAAACTGAAGCTTTCCGGGCAGCAGAATCAAGCCCCTGTCAAGGTCCTGTCAACCGGAGTCTCGCTGGCGCTTTTATCCTTCGCCTCAAATAATAATTAAAACAAACAAACAAAAACCGACCCCTTTCCCCCCCCCCCCGCCCCCACCCCTAAAAAAATAGCGGGCGAAAATCTAAGCGGCTAAGCCTTTATTGCCCCCTTTTTGTGGCATAAATCAGATTGCATAGCTTTTAATCCGCCCCTCCTCTCCTCCTCCTCCTTTTTCCCTCCCACAATATTTGATCAGTCACCTGATCCATATTTCCTTCTGCTTCCCCCTCCACCCCACCCCCCACTCCCTCCACAGCCTGCATAGTTGAAGGAGGGGAAGCTGTTCAGAGAATAAACGTCTCGTTTCTTTCTTTTTCCTCTCCCTCCTCCCCAAATTAAAAAAAAATCCTGCGCGACAGTAGTAAGGGGGGGGGAGAGAGAGAGATGCTTGCTTTAAGCCAATGAAAGGGGAGGCGTGTTGATGCAAAGGGGGGGGGATAAAAACGGATTAAGTGTAAGTGTGTGTGTGTGTGTGTGTATGGGGGGGAAGAGAAATCAAACGAGGAGCGGAAAAGTTGCCTCTGGTTCCTTCCTTCCTTCCTCTCTTCCTTCCTTCCTTCCTCTCTTTCTTTCTTTCTTTCTTCCTTCCTTCCTTCCTCTCTTTCTTCCTTCCTCTTCCTTCCTTCCTTCCTCCCTTCCTTCCTTCCTCTCTTTCTTTCTTCCTTCCTTCCACTCTTCCTTCCTTCCTTCCTTCCTCCCTTCCTTCCTTCCCCTCTTCCTCCCTTCCTTCCTTCCTCTCTTTCTTCCTTCCTTCCTCTCTTTCTTCCTTCCTTCCTTCCTTCCTCTCTGTCTTCCTTCCTTCCTCTCTTTCTTCCTTCCTTCCTCCCTCCTTCCTTCCTCTCTTTCTTCCTTCCTTCCTTCCACTCTTCCTTCCTTCCTTCCTCTTTCTTTCTTCCTTCCTTCCTTCCTCTCTGTCTTCCTTCCTTCCTCTCTTTCTTCCTTCCTTCCTCCCTTCCTTCCTTCCCCCCTCTCCTTCTCCCTCTCCCTCTCCCCAACCCGCTTTCCCCACCCCCCTCCCCAGTATTTCTCTGCGTCTGTCGCGGATTTCTCCAGCAGCCGCCGCCTGGCCAGCTCGCCAAGCCCCTGAAATATGATAATCAGAACAGCTGCTTCTGTGTTCCCTCCGGCCAATCAGAAGACGGCAGGTTTGACGTCCCCGCGGCCTACGCCGGCCAATGACGAGCGAGCTGAGTTGGAGCAGAGAAGTTTGAGTAAGAGATAAGGAAGAGGCTCGTGGTCGAGGCGCGCGGAGTTTCCACGCACTGGGCAGCGTCCTCCGAGAGCGCTCGCTCCCTCTCTCCCGCTCTCCCGCTCTCCCGCTCGCTCTCGCTTGCCTGGACCCCGCTGGCGGTTTTCCTTTCCGGACGGAGCACCTTCTCACCGTAGGAAGAAGGGCGTCCGGTCATCCATCCTCCCTGAGGTCGATTCCCAGCGCGGCGGAGGCGGCGGACCAAGGAAGCATCTCTGCCGTCCCTTGACAGCATCTTCTTCTCCTCCTCCTTCCCCCCCCCCACTCCAAAAAAGCAGAGCCGCCGGTTTATTTGTTTATTTATTTATTATTTTTATTATTATTTTTATTATTATTTTTCCATCATCTCGGGAAAGTTCCTGTGCAGCCGGGCACCATTTCACGGTGGACACTGTACCCTTTGGTAGAGATGGGCGATATGGGCGACCCACCGAAAAGTAAGGAAGCGACGATGTCGAAGGGATCGGTTCGGATCGGTTCTTTTTAAGCTGGTCCTCGCGAGCGTTAGTTTTAAGGGCGAAGGGGGGGAGAGCCAAGCGAATCGTTTTTGGAGGTCGTTCGTTAAGGGAAGGCAAGGGATGGCCCGGTGCCTGTTTGCGATCCGTTCGCCTTGGGTGTGATGCTTAGAGGGATCCCCGGCGGGCTTTGGTTTCCCAGGGAAAAAAACAACCGGTGCTTCCAAAGTCGGGAAATATAAAACGAGGGAGCGTGAAAAACCGGATTGTGGGGGAAGATGCCTCGTAGTTATTATTATTATTATTATTTTTAACGTGCTGAAAATCTGTGGAAGATCAATGGGAACTACCTTTCCCTCCCCAAATGCGCAGAGGGATCTGGTCGTCTTGCCTGAGGTTAGGGGGGAGGGGGGATAGGAGGAGGGGAGCGAAAGGGGTCCCGTGCCAGAGGCCCGTCACAGCCTCGGCAATGACTTTGAGCGAGCTTGCTTCAGCACTACCAATCTTTCGGGGGGGCCTTCAACCCCGAAGGATCCCATTTTCCTCTCCAACAATGGGAGATTTCTCTCCTCCACCAAATTTGATTCGGGACGAGTTGCGGGCTCCGGTCCGCCACAGCTGGGAACTATACAACGCCTCCCACCCACGCCGCCTGAATCCAAGTCTCTAGCCAAAGCGGGGGGGGGAGAGAAAATTGAGATGGGGGAAAAGAAGTAAAACCCACAAATCAAAGCTTTCGGGCTGGGTTTGGTCTCTCCCTAGACATCTAAAAAAAAAAAAAAGCCCATTGCCCGGGCTTGTGTGTTTCCGATCCACTCGTCTTCTTCCCCCACCCAACCCCCGACTCCAAATTATTATTTGGGTTTCTTGGAAAGCGTGGAAAATGCTCTCACTTCTCCCACCCTCCCCGTCTCCGCAATTCTACTTTTAACTTTGCGTTCCGCCTTCTCCCTTAGCAAGGGAAAGCCTTTGATGGAGACACACAAACCTCATCCCGATTGCTCTCCTAAAACGCCCCCCCCCTCTCTCTCTCTTGCACCCACCCCTCCCCCTTCCTCTCCTTCTCTCTTTTTTTTTCTCCCTCCGGGTCTCCCCCCCCCCTCCCCGCCTCCTTGCCCGAAAATGCAACGCGACAACAACCGCCGGGGCAAGCGGCGCGTTTCCTAAAGAGCAAGCTAGCCAAAGGCTCAAGGCCGGCGGGGTTGAACGGAGGGGGGACTAACCAAACGCGTTTATCTCGGTGGGGGAGCGACCGCTTCGTCAACGATGTCTCTTCTCCTCCTTTGCCTTTCAGAAAAGCGGCTGATTTCCTTGTGCGTCGGTTGCGGCAATCAAATCCACGACCAGTATATTCTGCGGGTTTCCCCGGATTTGGAATGGCACGCGGCGTGTTTGAAGTGCGCGGAATGTAACCAGTATTTGGACGAGACTTGTACGTGCTTTGTAAGGGATGGGAAAACCTACTGTAAGCGAGACTATATCAGGTAAGGAGCCTCTCTTCTCTTGCCCTGGTCTCTTCCCCTCCCCCTCCCCCGCACCGCGCTGGGAGTTATGGCGACTGTAGGTCCGGGGAGAGGGGGAGGGGGAGGAAGAGGGGAGGACGTCCGCGGTTGGTTCGCTTCCAACCGAACGGTTGAGATTCTTCTGGTTCTTACAGGAGAAGCTCGAGTCTTACAGGAGGACTTGTTTCTTAGGGCAAAGCGAGCTCTTATTTTATCCCTTCGGAAGCCTGGAATAATGTGTTGAGAAAGGTACACGCAGGCTCAAACACACACACACACACACACACACACACACAGAGAGGAGAAGTCTGAGGCATAAGCAGATCCCGTGGTTAGAAGTGGGGGGGGGACATAGTAAACAGCGAGGGTCGAGGAAAATAAAGAGATGCAGATAATTAGAAAGTGATGGGTTTCCCCCTTTTTATAGTTTAGATTTATTTATTTTTTAATCTGTATGGGGTGGAGGCAGGTTGCATAAAATGTCCCTTCCTTAAAAAAGAAAAAAGAAAAAAAAAAGCTCTCTCTACGAGCAGGCCGGTTTGGAAGTAAAGGTCTCCGTGCTCCTGAGTAAATACCTTCAGGGTTTTAGGGGCTCAGTCAGACGCTGGTTGAAGGCCGCCTCCTTCTGAAGTCTTTGCCCGTATGTGCGTTTACTTCCTGGGTAAGTGAGGAAGGACTCGCGGCCAGCTGCTTTTGCCGTAGTCAAGATTCACTTCTTGGCTTTAAATGTATGGAAAGGTGGGAAATAAATTTATTTGTCCCACTCACACCTTCAAAAGAAAAAAAAAATTAATAATACGCCTCCTAATAATACGGTAGAACAAGCCAAACAAAAAATGTCCTAGAACTATCTACTTATTATTATTATTTTAAAAAAATGTTCCAGGGCCACAAAATTGGCTGGGAAGGTTAATGTTGCTGCAGGGCATTCAGAGGAGAGCTATACTGACGCTCTGGCCCAAAAGCTTCGTTCGAAAATAGATCCAAAGCATCAAATAAATATCTTGAGAATTCCGGGTTTGATGGGAAGCGGGGAGGGGGGATATTGTCTCCCGGCTCTTCTTTTTCGACTCTTCTGGTGAGGTCTAGTTTGAGGCGTGTAGTAATATTTAGAGGGGCAGCTGCAATTTGTTGTCATTCAGATGAATCCAGCCCCTCCCCTGAACTCTAGCTAATTAAGTGTATAATTGAAATGAGGTGGGAGGTAGTGGGAGTGGGGGGGGAAGGTTTCTCCTGCGCGGTAACGGGGCAGGTTTTTTCTATTTTTCAGGAAAGTGCGTTATAAGGAAAGGAAAATAACAAACATTTCCCTCGATATCCATTCTAACCAGGCCCCTTCACCTTAAAAACAAAACAAAACATAAACCACCGATGCGGAGGAGGGTTTTTTTCAGCCATTGGAAGAAAGGTAGAGGACAGCTATAAAATAAAATAAAAGCATTGACCATGAATTCTAGCAATGGTCATTAAATAAAGTCCGCTCTATGCTGGAAAAAAAAAACAAACCAATTGCTTCGTGGGGGTGGGGATGAGGAAACCCACACAAAGACTTCGTTTTCAGGACCCCCCTTAGGTAGGTCTACTCGGGAGCCAGACTTTTCTATAGGGTTTACTCTCAGGTAAGCGTGTGGGCAGGATTACAGGCCTTAATCTTTTTAAATATTAACCCTTTGGGCGTTCTAGGACCGCCTCTCCTTTCTTATCTTATCTGCCTTGATGAATTGGACAGAGGAGATCAAATTGCCCCTCAGCTGTTAGCGAACAATCGCTACATTTAGATAATGGAAGCGGCTTCCTTCCTACCCTGAAAATCTGGGAGCTGATTTAAAAAAAAGAAAAAGAAAAAAATTCCTGCTGTTCTGGCCACCGCTGACCTGACAACTAAATAAACCGACAAATAAATAGTTTTTTTTTTAAAAAGAGAGAAAGAAAAGAAGCTTTTTATACCTTATTTCAGGGATTTTTCGGTGACCGCAGGGCAGGGTGAGGGTGGGATGGGGGGCGGGGGGGGGTTGGGATGAGGAGACGCGAAGCTACTGTGTACCCTTGGTTGGGTTTGATCTTCGCGGAGGGGGGCAAAGGTTGGCGACTTGCGCCGAGGACACAATCCAGACGGAGAGAGGGCTGCTTAAGGTTCCCTAACCAGGAATGGCAGGAGGAGGAGGGGGTGGCTGGCGGTGGGGTTTTAAAACGGCGCTCGGTCTTGGCTTGTGCGTATTATTTTTTTGGGGGGTAGCAACTTTTCGGTGGATCCGAACTCTTCTCACGGGTTCCTTTTGGATCCCCCTTTAAAAAAAAAAAAAAAAACTCGGTTTACGACTTGGAGCGCAATTCTGAAAGGCGAAGACTGAGGTCGCCGGTGAGAATTCCCCCCTCGACATTCGCCTTCAGAAAGGCCGCTAGAGAACGAGATGCAGTTTCCTTGCCTGCCTGCCTGCCTGCCGTGGTTCCCCGAAAGGCGGTTAAGTCCCAGAGCTTCGAGGCGGCCTCCTTCTGGAAAGCGACGGCTGCTGAATGCGTTTTCAGAATCCGGGGGCTTTCAGAAAAAAAGAAAAAGAAAAAGAAAAAGAAAAAATCCGGAGCTGAGCAATCGGAACAAATAATTAACGTAACAGGCACGGTATCTCCCAAGCTCTCCATTTGTCTGTCCCCTCGCCAACCTTAAAGAGAGCAGGTTGACTCGGAAGGAAATGCCACTGGCGACTTCGGGTATGACTGTCCTAGTCCCTCTGCTTAGGACTGCAGCATTCAATTCGGTCTCTCTCTCTCTCTCTCTCTCTCTCTCTCTCTCTCTCTCTCTCTCTCTCTCTCTCTCTCTCTTTTTTGCAAATCTGTTTTACTTGAAAAGCAAACCCCGTATCTTTCCAGCTAAAAGGCAAAAACGTTATTTCGGAAAGGCTTACTCAAGTGTAAAGTCAAGTTCAAGGGGCTGGATGGAAGCGCCTTTGCTTTTGAGAGGCTGGTTCGTGGACCTGGAGGGTCTTGCCGGCTCCCAAGAAACGTTTTCCGATGGGGGCCCCTTCTCCCATCTTCGCTCTTTCCAGTAGTTCATTCCTGGCCCAGGGCCGAAGTGAGTTCTGTCACTTCTTCCTTCGCTAAGAAAAAACAGCCGGTAGTTCGGGGCTTTGTTATTATTTTATTATCCATGGGATTTTTTTTCCCTCTCTCCCTCGGGTTTACTTTTAAGAAGAGAAGGTTGCACAGTGATAAGATAAGGAACGGCTGATATATAAACAGGCACAGTATAACCGCGCCCCGGATCTTACAAAAATTATACTCGCTGGCGAGCAAGGGAAGGTTGTCCATTCGCCTTTTCATACCACCCTAACCCCCTCGCTGGGTTGAGCGGTGCTCCAGAGGTTTCTGGGCCTGTCCCTGCTCTAGAAGCGCTTCGGATCTATTTTGGAGGAAAGTTTTGTAAAGATTCGGTGTATGTTTTTCTCCTCCTTTCCGGAATATAAACTCCGAATATAAAATTCCGAGGTACAGAAGGCGAAGCTAACTCGAAACGATTCGTTGCACTTACAGGTAGCCGGGAGTGTAAAAATAAAATGATGGGGATTTTCTCTCCCGGCCGCTAACTCTCTCTTTAGAAAGAACCAAATTTGGGTGGGCGTCCTTGCACTCGCGTAAGCAAGCAAAGGTCAGTCTTGGTGAAAAGGTAGGCCTCGCCACTCGCTTTTGCTAATCTAGAACCAGGAAGCCCCAGAGACTCCTGCCTCACCATCTACGAATTAATAAACGAACTTCAAAATTTCCAGGAGCAACTTGAGAAGTTCAACCAGAACGCTTTTCGTACGAATGGCCATCTTCAGACCTGTGCGGTTTTGTTTTTTTTTAAGCCCTTGGAGTCTGAATCTCCAAAACAGAACCCCAACTACCGCCGATGACTGCCTCCCAAATCCCGTTTCTGGCTATAGTTTCTATAGGAAGAGGGATGTGTTTCCTCTTTGGGATTTTGGGTACCCGTGCGAGGATCTTGGCCCAAAGGTGTATGGTTTCTCCGCAGCTTTATAAGAGGATGAATGAAATGCTCAGCACAGTTTTGCTTTGAAGTCGACCCGGCCTGAACCAGCCGGTGTTTGTGTGTTTTTAAAGGATGGGTGCGTTTTTTTAAAAAATAATAATAATCGGACTTTACATTTGAATCTCCCTCGTTTTAATCTGTCTAGACTCTAGAATTAACCGTAGGCGATTGTCTTCCTTGCCATTCTCTGCCAGCTTCGCGGGAAAAGCCTAGATTCCAGGAATCTGTAGAGCAGTTCTCCACTGTTGGAGAAAGAGACACGCACAAAAATAAATTGCAACCAAAATACATGTTTTAGTAAAAAGAAAAAAAAAATTAAAAGTTAAAAATGCATCCCTTTTCCCAAAGTTCCTTTCCTTCCTCCCGGCCAGGCAAGAGCGTCGGCGGCCGCGGTGCTTTCTCCAAGCATCGAAAAACATCAGCTCCAAATCTGGGTTGGGGGGGGGTCTCTTCACCTGCCCCCCGCTCCATTTAAACGGGCGAGAGAGAGCCAGCTGGGCCGGTTCAATAGAAAAAGATTGCTTTGGACGGGCGCCTAAAAACGCGCGGTCTGGCGGATCGGGTCAAAAAAAAAAAAAGGTGGGGGGCTTGATTCGAACAGAGGTCTGAAATGAAATAATTTTTTTCCTCTCTCTCTCTTTCTCCTCCTCCTCCTCCTCCTCCTTGTTCCCTTTCCTTCCTCTTTCTTTCCTCGCCCCATCCCCTCCGACGGGATCCGAACTCAGGTTATACGGCATCAAGTGCGCCAAATGCAACATTGGGTTCAGCAAGAACGACTTCGTGATGCGCGCCCGCTCCAAAGTCTACCACATCGAGTGCTTTCGCTGCGTGGCCTGCAGCCGCCAGCTGATTCCTGGGGACGAGTTCGCGCTGCGAGAGGACGGCCTCTTTTGCCGAGCGGATCACGATGTGGTGGAAAGAGCCAGTCTCGGCGCCGGAGACGCCCTCAGCCCCTTGCACCCCGCCAGGCCGCTGCAGATGGCAGGTACTCTTGGGCCCCTCCGGGAGGAGCTGGGCTGGTGCTGCGCTCCTTTGTTACCTACGGTCTTGCCAGGCCCAGCCTAACCCGGTTCTGTACCGTATTTAGCTTCTTACAGAAAAAAAAAGCCAACTTTTCTGCAGGAGCTCAAAAGGATGGACCCCAAGGAAGCCTGGAATCCGGTGGTTGGGAGCTGCAAAGCCGTAGCTTTCTTTACAGTGCAAGCAGCTTTGGGGGCTCATTAAAAACTAACGCATTTCATTGTGTCACAAGCTTCCATTATTCACCGTCTTGATTTATCAAAGGCGTGAAATTAGAGGTATGGAATTAGAGGTGGAAGGAAAACGATGACACTTTCCCACCCAAGAAGGGGAAAGCTACAGGTCTAGTACTCAAGATCAAACTCCATTGGCCTTCTGAGCTTTAACTTCAGAACAAATAAATAGGATGAAACTATTTCTAAGCAGTTATAAACGATAGCGCAGGTATGTAAATGAAAAGACATGCACGAAAGGTTTAGGGTTAGGGCATGAAGGTTTGCTTAGTTTTGGCTAGGTATGTGCCTAAGAAAGATGCCCTTGAAAAAAATGATAGAGAGGAATATGTCCTGCTTGACTGTTGGACTCGCTTCCATTCAAGTCAATGAGATGTGCAACAGAATTCTTTGATATATTATTTTTTGTGCCTACAAATTTAAATCACTTATATGGCCACTCACTTTCACAACAGAGACTGTGGGTGGCCTTTAAAATTAAGCCTTCGACTTCTGGTGTACTGCTTGCAGTTTTCTCAGCAAGATTTTTGGAATCTCTTAGTCTTCCTCTTAGTCTTAGGACTGAGAAAGTGTGATTGGTCCAAGGTCACCCAGCTGGCTTTGTGCCTAAAATAGAACTAGAATTTACAAGCTCCTGGCTTCTAGCCTAGTACCTTAACTATTACGCCAAATAGTTTTCTCCACATTAAATCCCCCTATATAGAGTAAAAGTTTCTTTCTAAGTCAGTTTCTTCCCTCTGTATCAAATCTCTTGGAATCCAATGAAAATTAGTGGCAAAATCCAAAACCAGGGTTAAACAAATACCATTGTTATATTTACCTCAATCAAACAAATTGTCCTTAAACTGAAAGTCTGGTTTCCATGAATACTGAACCACAAGCTTATCAAGTTTATCTTTGTCCTGTCTAATATACTAGATTCATTAGACTGGACAACCATTGTCCAATAACTATACTCTAGTTTAATTTCAACTTCCCAAAGCCTGAGTTGACGTGGTATTTGGTGTCAGGATTTTGGTAACACAATTCTAGATGTGTTTATGCAGAAAAGAACAATTCTAGATGTGTTTATGCAGAAAGGACAGAACAGGAAGGAATCTTGTGGTATCTTCCAAAACTAACATGTTTATTGCTGCATGAGCTTTTGTGGATCACTTCATCAGGAAGTTAAGTTCAGTAGGATTTATTCCCAGGAAGAGTAAACGTAGAGTTGCCGTCTAATTTGTCTTATCCCTAAGATTAGGCACTCTGCCTGACAAATCCAAACATTTGCAAATACATTTTGAACTATATTATATTTGCATTCACATTTTTTTTTTTTTGCACAATTGAGGCCTATCACGTTTGCTTAGAAAACGTTCCAGTGATTTTAAAGACATTTATTCCCTACTGAAAAAAATAACATAGTTTTTGTTTCAGAAGTTTCAGAAGAACCAGTGGGGCTTGTGTTTTGGGGTAACAGGTGCAGATACCGCTACTGAAGTGAGTATCTGCACCTGTTGAAGTTAGTGCATAAAATCCAATTTATTCACCATGTTTGCAAACCCTTTTCTGTGAAAGTAACAGTGTAATTCTATACGTGTTTACTTAAAAGTAAGTTTTACTAAATATCCATGGGATTTATTTCCACATGAATTAAATTGCAGCCGTAACTCCCCTGTATTTAGTAGACTTTCCTTATGAGAAAATACGACTGGGATCACAATTCCTTCAGTAAGTGTACTTAGGATCCAGAGATGAAACATTGTTTATATTAAGTTAACCTGTGAACCTGAAGGTATTCAGGAGACACATATTTGAATTGGTATAGTTTGCTTGTCAGAGACAGGAGGTTCAATCCATCTCATGTTGAAGTCAATACAAAACTTCAGTTGGCTGATGTGGATCAAAAGTCTGCTATAGTCCAATGGTAAATAATGTGTTATCTTTGGTAGCTTATCAACTGATTATTAAGCTACTAGGTATATTTTAAATAGATAAACAGACATACTCCCTGTGTGTGTGCTTTCTCTTTGTGTGTATCTTGTGCTGTCAGGTATATGGTTTAGGTTAATCAAATATTAATTGTAGGGGAATCACAGAGACTACTATTGGTCTTACCAAAGAAAACTATATTGGTAGTACTGTACTGTATAATTTCCTTAGATGTCTATTCAAACATTAGTTTCAGTGAGGTCAATAGGGCTTCCTAGAATAGCTGATATATATCTCACTGCCATATATATATTTGAATAAATCTATTTCAGCATTCCCCCAATGGGGGATAGGGGGAGATTGAGAGAATGGAGAGGGAGTGTACTCCCAGTGGGGGTGCTGCCAATATGTCAACCACCCACTGATCTCTTCCAAAGATGTTTCTTTAGAATGAAGCACTGGGATGGGGAAAGTTGCTACAGAACAGGGAAACTCATAATATGGGGAAAACTTTTCCAGCAGCCATTTACAACTGTCAACAAGCTGATCTTTGGTAATTGCTTTGCAGAAGATCCTGCTGCCCCTTTCCAAAGCTTTTAACGATTTGGGTAGAAATTGTAGCTGAAGGTTTTAAAAAGTGAGTTTAGGAAGTTGGCATTGTTTTGCTTCACTTCTCTTCCTCCTGTGCCTGATTCCCACCCCAACTCAAGTTTTGAGAAAAAAAAAACTTTCCAGCTTCTTTGTTGTCATCCTTATTTATTATTATTTATGGCCCCCCACCCCCATAAATAAAACCCCTGAACCAACCTTTTCCCCAGTCTGTTGGCAATGGAGGGTGTTGAGTGGCCAAGACAATTTCAGTCTACATCCAGATATTTTTTTGGGTGGGGGGAGGAGAGATTAGTAGGGAAAGAAGGTGGTTCAAGTTTGAAGGCCTTACTGTTGTTTTCCTTTCACATGCCCATGACTAACCCAGGACATGACAACAGTGTGATGTAATGTATTCTCAGGCAGGCTCCTTTAAATGTAAAAATAGCAAGCAGCCTTAGCCCTTTATAGGCTTACTTCCAAGGAAGCCTCACTGGTTGCAGCACAATTTCCCCTGCAATAAATGTTGCATTAAAAACCCACAGAGTCAAGTAAGCTCCACAATTGGACTACATTTTCTTTGTTTCTATACTAGACACTCTACTTTGAGGAATAGACAAATCTGAGAAAAGAGGTGGGTATTTGAAGGAAGAAAGAACCCCCCCACATAGACCAGATCTAAACCTATGATAGTTTATTTGACATCAAGTTGTTTACTGGTAGGTATGGTTGCTTTTCATCTCTTTGTAGTCTAAAGTTAGAAGCAAAAAAAAAAAATTTCAAGAAAAAAGTTGATGGGAAGAGGATTTTTTTTTTTTAAGCTTTCTGTAGCATTTTCTGCCAAGGGAAAAGAATATAAGACTGGGACTTTTCTTCTTTGGAGGATGATTTACTGATCAGCTGACCAGGGAGAAGCTATTTCTGAGTAAACAGTGCATAGGAATGCAACTTACTTTCCAATGAATAGGATTGTTCTCAAAAATGTATTTATCTGTGTTCAGTTAGAAATTACAAACCCGGATGTTTATGAAGGGCCTATACAGGTAGTCCTTGACTTATGAGCACAATTGAGCCCAAACTTTCTGTTGTCAAGTGAGACAATTTGTTAAGTGAGTTTTTCTTGCCATGCTTGTTAAGTCAATCGCTGCAGTCGATAAGTTAGTAATCCGGTTGTAAAGCAAATCAGGCTTCCCAAATGTTTTTGCTTGCAAGAAGGTCACAAAAGGTGATCACATGGGACACAGCAATGGTCATGAATGTGAAACAGTTGCCAAGCATCTGAATTTTGATCACATGTTCACGGGGTGGGTGCAAAGGTCGTAAGTGTGGAAAAACGGTCATAAGTCACATTTTTAGTGCCGTTGTAACTTTGAATGGTCACTAAACGCACTGTTGTAAGTCGAGGACTACCTGTACTACTGCAATATTAGAAAGGGTGTCAGTTGAAAACATTTTAATTAATCCCTGCAGGATTTTTGGTTTGGCTGGTTGGATTGGTGAAATAGCTTTTCATAAAAAAATTGCTAAACGAACACAGTTTTCTTAAACCCTTTTTTTTTTCCTAGCAAGGGACAATGATTGGCATGAAAAAAAACCTCATTTTCAATAGATGTTTCTGGGTAAAATCCAGAGTGCATAACTGGGTGTGGAAGAGCCATCATAACAGTGAATAGGAAGCCTGGGATTTTATAACAAAAGCAGCTGGATCATTGTCTTGGTATTCCTCTGGTTGCATTCCACAGACTTAATTCCTTGTTTACTGATTTAACCCAATTACTGAAGGCTGCAAAATGTACTGAACCACAAGAGAACCAACTTATCTGGCTTCACACCATGCACAATCGAGCCATCCACAATTAAACAGCGGGGCGGGTTGTGTGAACTCAGCCTTGGCCTGCATTGTACTTGGGAAGGACAAATATTCTGAGTTTTAGGAGTAAGGACGAAGGGCCCCACCAAGCGATAGATGCGGTAGCAGTCTTTTTTCCACTTCCTTGGAGTTTTTCAAATCCATCTGCCACAGATAATAAATGAAACTTCCAGCAATCGCCTTTCAGATCCCTACAACTCTCGAAAACACACACAACTCTCCCTCTCCTCCTCCTCCTCCTCCCCCAGCAAGAAGATGATTTGATGTGGAGTGATGGTGGTGGTGGTGGTGGCTGGGGCTGAGCTAATATGCCAAAAATTTTACTTTGACGAGATGCCCACTAAATGGACGATGAGCTCACTAAGAAAAATGCATGTCATTGGGAAACATTCCTTCCCAGGAAGTTAACAACTCTGTTTGCTTGCAAATAGGGGTATCGGCAGAGTCGATAAAAAAAAAAAAAGTCAAAACGATAGTTGTATGTCTGCCATCTTGACTTCTTTGACCGCATCTCTGATTGTCAATACTCTAGAGCAGGGGTCTCCAACCTCGGCAACTTTAAGACTCGTGGACTTCAACTCCCAGAGTTCCTCAGCCAGCAAAACTGGCTGAGGGCTTCTGGGCTAAGCAGGGTTGGTCCCAGTTACCAACAGAACAGGCTCTCTAGGTTGAGACAGATTGGCTATTTTGTGAGTAGCCCAAGGCATTGGGCAAAGGGCGTTGCTTTGGAACAGCCAGCTGGATTCATTTTGAGAAGTGGGGGTGGAGGATTGGTTAACAGGTAAAGCTTCAAACTAAAACTGTAGTGGCCAAAATTGTGGAAACCTTTTGGGAAAAGTGTATTTTTGAGGTTTAATGGCTAATAACATCATTTTTTTGGGGGGGGATTTCAAGATCATCATATTCCACTGCTGGAATGGCCTGGGAATAGCCCAGACGTTAACCCAATTGAAAATCTATGGAGCCGACTAAAGAAACTGGTTAGTCAGAAGCGACCCAGCGAGAAAACCCAGTTAATAGAAACAATCATTCAATCTTGGTTTCACATTAGAACAGCTGCAGAATAAAAAGACTTGGTTCACTCCATCGGAAGATGTTGCAAGGCCGTAATTCATGCTAAAGGTTACCCAACTAAGTATTAACTGATGTGATAATTTTTGTATATCTTTTTTATTCTATGGTGATCATTTTTGTATATCTCGTTTTTTCTATGGTGATCATTTTTGTATATCTCATTTTTTTTCTATGTGTTTCACTTTTCTTCTTTATACTGTAACTGCTGTTGTAATAGCAAATCCTTCATAAAAGTTATTGCATTACATTCTTGATTATCTTTCCATTGATGTATCATTTTATGGTACTACTCAAAAAAAAAAAAAAAGTGGTTATTAGCTTAGTTTTAGAAAATACTTTCCCCAAAAGGTTTCCACAATTTTGGCCACTACTGTAGATACTGTAGATACTGTAGATAGTTTAGTTAGTTTAGTTAGTATGGTTTAGGACAGGGGTGGGCAAACGTGGCTCTTTTATAACCTGTGGACTTCAACTCCCAGAATTCCTGAGCCAGCGATGTCTCAGGAATTCTGGGAGTTGAAGTCCACAGGTTGTAAAAAGAGCCACGTTTGCCCACCCCTAGTTTAGGAGCCTAAAGGTGAAAGAGTTTTTAAAGCAGAGGTCTTCAAAACTTGGCAGCTTTAAGACTGGTGGACTTCAACTCCCAGAATTCTACGCTGGCTGGAGAATTCTGGGAGTTGAAGTCCACAAGTCTTAAAGCTGCCGAGTTTTGAAGACCTCTGCTTTAAAGGAAGAGTGAGGCTTTGGGGAAATCTTTCCCGTTGATCGCTGGAATCTGAAGGCAGGCGCTTAGGTTTTACCCCTGCAAGCCAGGATCCAGTCTTTCTGCTGGAGTGAGGCAGAAGGTCTCCCAAAAGCTATCAGGGTTGATCTTTGTCTGTTTGTCTTCTGGTCTTGCCACTGACCAGGCGCCTCTCCCTCCCTCCCTTCCTTACAGCAGAACCTATCTCCGCCAGGCAGCCGGCTCTCCGGCCCCACGTCCATAAGCAGCCAGAAAAAACGACCCGCGTCCGGACCGTCCTCAACGAAAAGCAGCTCCACACTTTGAGGACCTGCTACGCGGCCAATCCCCGGCCTGACGCCCTCATGAAGGAGCAGCTGGTGGAAATGACCGGTCTCAGCCCCAGAGTGATCCGGGTCTGGTTTCAAAATAAGCGTTGCAAGGACAAAAAAAGGAGCATCATGATGAAGCAGCTGCAGCAGCAGCAGCCCAACGACAAGACGGTAAGCGGGCGTGGCGCCTTCTCCTCCCGGCCTCTAGGGGGCAGCCGTCCTCAAACGAGGCTTGGCCTTTTTCATGCGGAGCTGAGGGCTTTGGGTTCAAGCAAATCCAATTTTTTTTTTTTACTACCAATTCTGTGGGCGTGACTTGGTGGGCGTGGTGTGGCTTGGTGGGCGTGGCAGAATAGAATTAGAATTAGAATTAGAATTAGAATTTTGTATTGGCCAAGTGAGATTGGACACACAAGGAATTTGTCTTGGTGCATATGCTCTCAGTGTACATAAAAGAAAAGATACGTTCATCAAGAATCATAAGGATACTTATGGGGAAGGGGAACTGCAAAATCTCCATTCCCACCCCACTCCAGGGGAAGGATACTGCAAAATCTCCATTCCCACCCCACTCCACGGGAATGATATTGCAAAATGTCCATTCCCACCCCACTCTGAGGCCAGCCAGAGGTGGTATTTGCCGCTACCGGTTCTCCAAACTGCTCAAAATTTCCGCTACCAGTTCTCCAGAACCTGTCAGAACCTGCTGGATTTCACCCCTGGGTTCAAGGTATCGTGGGAATGCATCTCTTCTGCAGTTCAGCGCCTCGAATTTGTACCCAGCTCTCTTGAATTAAATGGGTTGTGTATTCCAAAGAGGATGTGTTCGTGCAACACACTGAACCACAAATGACCCCTTCCCCAATTTTTAGCTTAGTGGAAGTACCTGCCCTGTGTGGTTTATTATAGGGTGGATAGTTACAGTTCATTAAGTTGTGATAAGCCATTGATTACTCTAAGGTTGATCTAACCAAAATCAATATGTAGGTGAACACAGCCATAAGCTAAGATCACCTACTTTGTATTCAGTTATAAGATGGCTTGTTCAGTTTCGATTTTGGCTATAGTGCGGTTTTGGGTTTAGGTGTAACCTGTTGTATGTGTGGCTTCAACCATGATCAAACCGTGGCCTAGGCTAGGGCAGTGTTTCTCAACCTTGGCAACTCTTTAAGATGGGTGGACTTCAACTCCCAGGATTCCCCAGTCAGTCAAGTCCACACAATTTAAAGAGATGCCAAGATTGAGAAGCACCTCCTTAGGATGATTTGTACATCAGGACTTGGTTTCCCTCCTCACCCCTTTTTATTTTTGCTTGAAAGCCCCTTGAGATTTAGGGGCGGATATTGTGTGTGTGTGATGTTGCTTCAATGGGTGTTTTGTTTTGCTGGAAACATTCTGAGTGCCAATTAATTATGCTCTCAATCCCTTTAAATGAGGGGGGAGGGAAGTGGGGAGAGGAAGGGAGGGAGGGAGATAAAAGGTTGCTACCAATTTCTTTCCTTGAAGGCGGTCCTGTGCTTTTTATAATAGCTCCAGTAGCAAAGAGACTGGTTGAATCCATAGGAAAAGGGCCTTTTCTTCCAGGTAAAAGAACAGTGATTTTGAGAATGGGGCTTGTTTTGATGATAGGAGGCCTTACAATTTTTGGGGTATGTCTCTGTTTTAGGCTCAGTCTTAGAGCTGCACTGATTTGCACTAGGCAGAACAGAATGCAACAAAAGAAAACAAGTTAGAAAAATAGATTGATATAACTAAAGTAATGGTGCCATTGATTATACCCAACACCCAGTGCTAGTTATGAAGTGGAATAAGTCCTAATTGAGACCAAAGGAGTTTACAATATATTCCTAGTAGTAATTTTTATTTTTATTTATTTATTTTATTTTGTCGAGTACATATTAGATGATATATATAACTATAAGCATGAATTGAATACATAAAATGAGTACAATTAAAGGGAACATTAGGACAGGGATGATAGACACGCTGGTGCTCTTATGCATGCCCCTTACAGACCTCTTAGTTAGTTAATTAATTAGCATTAATTAATGTTAATTTGGAGGCAAAATAATGTCAGTGATCATCAGTATCAGTTTGTTATTCTCTCCAGATAGAGGTACCTTTGTGAAGATTTTTTTAACTCATTCCCTGGATATAAAAGGAGTTGACATTTTGTCTTCTTAACCTTTCTATATTTTCCTACTTTTTCCATTGCTTTTCTTTTAGAAAGAATTGGTTCAGGAAATCTTAACTTAGAAACATTAGATCTGTAGTAAGGCCCATTGTGTTCAGCAGAACTAAACCTGGCTGAATGTTCCATCTGAAGTAGGTGCCAGAAAATTTGAGAGGATGTACCCCAAATTATGCCCACCCACATCAGGGATTTATATATCCTTATTGCAGTGGTGAAATCCAATTTTTTTTACTACCGGTTCTGTGGGCATGGCTTGGTCGGTGTGGTGTGGCTTGGTGTGCATGGCAGGGGAAGGATACTGCAAAATCTCCATTTCCACCCCACTCCAGGGAAAGGATATTGCAAAATCTCCATTCCCACCCAACTCTGGGGCCAGCCAGAGGTGGCATTTGCCGGTTCTCCAAACTGCTCAAAATTTCTGCTACCGGTTCTCCAGAACCTGTCAGAACCTGCTGGATTTCACCCCTTCCTTATTGGAACCAGGTGGAACCAAATTAAAGCCCAAAATTGTAATCCTAAATCACATTGGCACAGGGAAGGTTCCTTGTTGAGCGGGGTGGCATTTATTAAAGGGAAAAATTCGTGGGCTTGAACTTGTTTAAATCAATAGTTGCAGTATTTAAGTGAATATCGTGAAAGGCTATTTATGAATCAAATGAGAAAAGTAGATTATTTTCCCCAGTCCCGCTTCCACTTTCTCTTTTAAATTTTCATGAAGCAAACCTAATTGTTGCACACCTTAGTACTCAAATGTGGGAAGCAGTTATAAATTTGTTTTAAAGGCTGAAAGCTCTGGTTAAAAAGTGGCGTTTCACCACTGCAGAATGTCATAAACCCACAATTTAAAGGAATGTAAATTGCTCTGAATTTGGAAGCTATTTTGGATGCAAGTCCTTTAAAATACCCACAGGATTTTGGTCTTCCCTCCCAAACAGAAACAACCCATAAAAATAAACCTTCACTGGCATGACCGTGACTTTAATTAATGAAAGAAAGGGAGCCAGTTTGGTCTAATGGTTAAAGCATCAGGCTAGAAAGCAAGAAGCCAATTTGAATTCAAGTTCCGCCTTAGCCATGAAAGCCAACTAAGGACCTTGGGCCAGTCACTCTCCCAGCCCAACTCACCTCACTGGAGGAAGATTTGTTAGTTGTTATGTTTTTATGCTGCCTTGAATTATGAATAGTTATTAATAACTAATATGGAAAATTAATTACAATAGAAGTAATAATAATTAATAAAGGCAGTATATAAGTAAAAACAATAAATAAATATACAGCCTAATGTGTTCATTTAGTGCTGCAACATAAGGAACCAAGCACTGCTTAAATCCAGACTGGTGCGGACTGTTTTGGAGTGGTACAATTGGCAGTTCCTACATTTAGAATTTAATCACCAGAGCTGCAGTCTCCACTGGAATTGTGCTGCCTCCTTAGACTGTCCTGTTTCCAAACATCATAAGTCAGTTTTGATGATCCTCTGGTGGCTTCTTTTGAAGGAAGAGTTCTGCCCCTAACTTGAGGCCTGTTGTGATCCCTCTGTATCCCAACTGCTTCTTCCCACAACCAGGGAAGGACCAAAAATGTCAGTTTGGTCAAGGGAGTTATTTATATTAAAAATAATAATAAAAAAAGCAGGAGAGAAACTAAAAAGTCAGTCTCTTTCCCTCTTAGGCTGACCTTAAGGAGAATGCTATTTATGTGTGTTCAAAATCCTTAGGAATGAAGACTAAGCAAAAGCTATCCCATGGGCTTCATCCAGAAGAATCAATGTGTGAATGGGGAAAGAGAGAATTATTGTGATTCCAAACATGTTCAGACTTGAATTCCATAAATCAATCTTTACTTCTAGAACAGAGGTCCAACCTTGGCAATTTTAAGACTTGTGGATTTCAACTCCCATGGGGAATTCTGGAAATTAAAGTCCACAAGTCTTAAAATTTGCCATGGTTGGACATCCCTGTTCTAGGGTAAACCTACTTTTTTTTGTACTTCTCCTCCCTCCCTGGTCCCCAAGCAGTTAAGGAAGCTTTGCACTTTGCTTATTTGCTCTTTTACTCCCACCTTATTTATAGAGCCAGTTTCATTCATCATTCACGACACAAGCTGAGATCTTACGCATATGCTAGAGTGGCAGTAGCTGAATAAGCGTTCCTGTTTGATTCTGAAATTTCAATGTTTACGGCTTTGTTTTTGTTTTTACTTCACATATGAATGTAACCAAGGGCTAACATGCCTTGACAGCACACATCCAGATTATCCTAAAGTGGGAGCAAAGAGTTAGAGAATGTTGTTTTTCATATGGATGTTTGGAGGCAAGAACTGGTAGCTCTGATGTAACTCCCACTAATGAAACCAAGTTTCCTAGTGAAGAAGAGTATTAAGACATATTTACTCAAAAGGAAGTCCCAAATAAGAGAATAAGTCAATATAGCTACTATATGCTTCCTTCTGATTAAAATCACTAAGTAGAGACAGCAAAAGAAAGTGGAAGGGGATGGAAAGAGGGTGTCAAAGAAAATAGGAGTGTGTGTTTGAATAGTAGAGATGGAGGATTCACCATTGCTCAGCCTTGGTCTCCTCCCTCCCTCCCCTCCCCACAAACTCAAAGAAAAATTGGAATCTGAAAGGAAAACAACAAAGAAGGATTTTCAGAATCTGGAGAGGCTGTTATGTTCCCGCTGAATCTTGCTGCCTTTTCAATGCATGGTGGCTGTAAAGCCTTCCTTCCTTACTAATAATTTACTCAAAAGTTAGCCTCACTAAGGACACTGGAACTTACTCTCAGGTAAAAGTGCATCCTAGAATGTAATTTCAACAACTCTCATTTCTAGCTTCAAAACCAAGAGGAATCTTTTAGCTCCTTTGTTTGACTAAGTTTTATTAAATGGCATATACTATTGTGATTATGCCTTTTAATAAAATCACTTAGTTGGAAATGGTGCTCCTAGACTCCTGATTTTTTGCAGTCATTTGACTATCATGGCTCTCTCACTATAATGCCTCAGTCCATTTGCTCTCAACTGTATTTTTAGACGAAAGGACCTTGGTCCAATCATTTACGTTTTAAATTGGGAACTAGTTTAAATTCTCTGAAAATAGAGACAAGGATTTTTCTCTCTGCCTTTCTGGAACAATCCTCTTAAACTCAGTGGCAACATTCCCCCCCCCCCCCAGTCGACTCATTGTCCTACAGATCTCTGAGAACAATAGGTTTCTCTGGATTGGTTGAGAGAGGGGGACGCTATATGTTTGGAGAACACTGGGGATATATAGAACAAGGCAACATAAATTGCAGATTGAGAGAGGACCCTTCTGATACTAAATGCAACTGGAAATTTATGAGGAATGGGGGTTTTGCTCATATGCATGTGCTCTTTGGGGTTGTTTCAGTTTAGAAATCGGTCTGTCCCTAAATGGTACTACTTTCATTAAGGGGATAAAATAGGAAGCCCTCTTGTTCCAGGTGCTATGGAACAGGGGTCTCCAACCTTGGCAATTTTAAGCTTGGAGGACTTCAACTCCTAGAATTCCCCAGCCAGCTTTGGCTGGCTTGGAGTTGAAGTCCTCCAAGCTTAAAGTTGCCAAGGTTGGAGACCCCTGCTATGAAAGATAGAGGAAGTTAGAGGATGGGGGAGGGTGTGCATTAAAGCCAAGCACAGTTGATAGCTTATTTTTTTTGTGTGTGTGAATGCGGCAAGTATCTAGGGTGCCTTTAGTTCGGCTGCTCATTGCCTGTGCTGCCTTGTTTGCAGAACATCCAGGGGATGACGGGCACTCCCATGGTGGCAGCCAGTCCGGAGAGACACGACGGCGGCTTGCAGGCAAACCCGGTGGAGGTGCAGAGTTACCAGCCGCCCTGGAAAGTCCTCAGCGATTTCGCCTTGCAGAGTGACATAGATCAACCGGCTTTTCAACAACTCGTAAGTGTCAATTCCCTGCAGCCATGAATGGCCCACTGTGTATACAAAAGCAAGTCCTGGTGCTCATTCCTTTGAAACACTTCGGTATCCTTGTTTAACCCTCTCCCACCCTCCTGGCTGCCACGTCTTCAAGCCCTGGATACCAATTCCCCTGTGTTTCCCCTTTTCTGTAGCAAGAAGCAGGCGCTTTGCTATCTTCATCTCCATGTTCTGCCTTTGCCAACCTGACTGGATTCGTTCCTGCTGCTGCTAGGCATCCTGGGAGATGGAGTCCAATCCATGTGGAAGGGCACCCAGGTGGGGAAGGTTGCTCTGTATGAAGGGCATGGAGATATACACAGAGTAGGATGCATCCAGTTAGGAGTGTCTTATTATCCATTTGACACTATATCACAGCAATCTAGGCCCAGAAATCTAGGATCTGGTTGTGCTATTAAAAGAATAGGCTTTGTGTTTTGTTACTGTTGGTTATTGATACTTGGGTCATGGCCATTGCCTGTTTTTTTTTTTTTTAATGAATTGTGACAGAAGGCAGTTAATTTTGAAAATAATATTGCAAATGAATTTTTTCAGAAATGATACATAGCAGACGATATCGCAGAATAAACTTTTCACCTTCGCTTTCTTCCTTCACTGCCCCTCCAACATTGCAAGAAGCCCTTTTAAGATAAGGCTTACTACAATTCTAACACATAAAATATGCCCCTTTCCCCATTTCCAAATTAGAACGTATTCATGTTCCTAAGGGATAGGCTCCTTGGGTGGCTTGAAGGAAAGCCTGATCTCCCTAGCTGAAAATGTGATAGTTTATCTTAATTGATCAATAGGGCTGAGCAGTTAAAGGGCATTTGGCAATCGCTGTTGTTATTTTGAAAAATCACCATACTTTTTCTAACATTAAAACTACTTCGTAAGACTTAGGGTCCATCCTGGATGTAATTAGAATATTTTTACTTTACTTTATTAATGTCTTTGGTATTTAAGAAACCTAGCTTTGTGCTGCTTTATAGCCTTTTCTCATCTTACGATTTAATAAATTGTTATTATTGATTAATATGAAGCCCCGGTGGCACAGTGGTTAGAATGCAGTACTGCAGGCTACTTCTGCTGACCGCTGACTGACTGCAGTTTGGCAGTTTGATTCTCACCAGGCTCAAGGTTGACTCACCCTTCCATCCTTCTGAGGTGGGTAAAATGAGGAGCCAGATTGTTGGGGGCAAGATCCTGACTCTGTAAACCGCTTAGAGAGGGCTGTAAAGCACTGTGAAGCGGTATATAAGTCTAAATGCTATTGCTATAATGCTTTCATAGACAACTTCCCGTTAAAAACAACAAAACCCATCTTCCTACCTAAACTCCATTTTTATAATCTTTCCAGTCTGTATGAACATAAGATACATTTCCAGAAGTTAACTTCCATTATAAATTGAAAATCCAGGAAATTCCATTCTATACTGTACATCGAGAGGACCCAAAGGTGGGGTGGGAGAATGGACTGGCCAAGTATGTTCAGCACAAGTGATACAGGAATACCTCTCCCGTCCCCCACAGGTCTTTATGGCCAAGAATAGAACCTGCATTTCCTATAACCAACACCAACAAAGTTTGCCTGGTAGACGCTCCAACCTGCCAGTGTTTTGCCTCAGATCTTAAACTGCTTAAGATTATGGGCATTTGTATGGACATTACGGAATTGTTGCCAAGTTATTTTTGAACCCATCAAGTGAGTACACTGATGAAATACAACGTTGATAATGGAATATAGGTTGCTAAGGTCTAGGCTGTGTGTGTAGAATATAGAACAAATCTTAAATATAAAATTTGAGATTACATCTTCTTTTCTTTACATTGTTTTGATGGTAACAGTATTATTTTTTTTTTTAAAAAAATCTCTACAGATGTTCATTGCTATATTTTTTATACAATTTAATCCCTTTTATTTATCCCAAATAGTCATAGGGATTACTTTATATATATTGTCATATTTGCCAGTGTAACAATTTGTTCAAATGCACAGTTTTTTCAAGTGTCTATGTCTTTCTTTTATGTACCAGTACAGTGCAATCGTATACATTCCTATTAAGAAGTAAGCCCTGATTTCTTCAATGGGACTTACTCTCAGATAGGTTTTGTAGGATTGCATTGTTAAGTGATGTATTTCTTACTTTCCATTGCCATTAGATCCATTTCTTTTTTTAAAAAAAAACATATTTACATTTGGTACATGTAGAACATGCAATATTAACATAATATTAATGGACCAATTTTGACTCAAAAGCCAATAGGAATTTATCACTGTGTTCTATTCTTAGCTCCCTTTCTTAACACTTAATCATTTGGTAGTTCATATGGGATGATATTGTCTGCAATACATATGTCGAAGTAAGTGATTTAAGGACAGAAGTTTAGCCATAATTCAATTTCCTGCCCTAGGTGTGTTAAAACCAGATCTTAAATGTAAGAAGATATATTTTATTTGAGATTTTTAAGTGATTGAAATTCATAGTAGGAATGGTAGAACATTTGAGAATGGGTTGGTGTAGTTTTACAAAATTCAAAGAAAACATCTAAGTTTTTATTCTAGAAATATATCTTCATAGTCCAAGCTTCTTTTAATGATATAGTGAATGGATTGTTTCAAGAATAATAATAAAAATAATTTTATAGAATTATTGCAAAATAGTTTATACCAGGGGTGAAATCTACTTACCTGCCCAACCGGTTTGGAAGTGCGCACATGGACCCTCTGCGCATGTGCAAACCCTTCTGCGCATGCACAGAGGGTAAAAAACAAATTACTTCCTGGTTAACACCAGGTCGTTACTTCCTGGTTAACACCAGGAAGTAATGATGACTGGGTGAGTGGGTGGAGCCTTATGCCATCATCGCTACCGGTTCTCTGAACCACTGGCCGCCATCGCTACCGGTTCGGCCGAATCGGTCCGAACCAGGAGCATTTCACCCCTGGTTTATACCGCAACACCTGACTTGAAAAGACCTATTTAATTTTGACAAACTGACTTCCAAAGAAATGCACTGAGAGAAATCTGAATGTACGTTTAAAAGAAGTAAAATGTAAAGGCAGCATAAAGGGCACCCCTACAAATGAAAACGTCTATAATACATTCTGAAAAGGCCCATACTAGTTACTAGTGTGGAATAGACTTCCTATTTACTGGGAGGGAAGTTTTAGTTTTTATATTTTATTTCCAAGACTGTGTGTGTACTTAGATGGGATTATACTGACATTTCAATGCTTCTTTTAAAGATGTAAGAGACTGATAGAATTTTATGGGAGGAAATGAGACTTAAAACATAGTGGAAGATTTCATGATATAGTACAATGTGAAAAAAATATATCAGTATGACAAAAATAGAGAAGAAGTCTTGAGTGGGAGAAAAATCCATATGGAATTATTCATAATGAGAATCTGATGCAGGAAATTTGTCTTTTAATGTGATTTGTCAAAAGAGAGTTTAACTAGATGGTTTTCAAACTTGGCTAGTTTATGAGTTTACTCCCAGAATTCACCAGTCAGCATTCTGGTTAGGGAATTCTGGGAGTTGTGCTCTACACATCTTAAAAGTTGTTCAGGTTGAGAAACACTGTTCTAATCTTTTGGCCTTGCTGACATTGAGCCCAAAGAAGAAACATCTTAGCATTCATATTGATGTTGTGCTAAACAAAAGCAGCTTCTTGAGGCAACAATATACCTAAGTGTGATTCCAGAATCCTTTGTGATGTCACAGAAGATTCTGTGATATGTCTTTCAGGAAATGAATCTTTTGAAGTTTGCCACCTTAGTGATGGTTTTTAATTTGAATGGTTCGTAATGGAACTCACTCACAGTAGCTCCAGTTACTATGACAAAACAAGGCCCTGGGCATCTCTGAATACATAGTTTACAAGGACTTTTGATTTGATCCAATAAATTTTCTTTCTTTCTTTCTTTCTTTCTTTCTTTCTTTCTTTCTTTTTCTTTCTTTCTTTCTTTCTTTCTTTCTTTCTTTCTTTCTTTCTTTCTTTTTTCTTTCTTTCTTTCTTTCTTTCTCTTTCTTTCTTTCTATCTTTCTCTCTCTCCCTCCCCCCCCTCCCTTCCTCCCCCTCTGTCTGATAAGGGGAAATGGGGTTTTACACCACATGCAATTATATCCTATTCTGAATTCCAATGACTTGCCTGATTTTGGTTTGTAGCAAAAGAAGGCATCCCTCACATTTTCTGTTTCAGAAATAGCTTTTCATCTATACAGTTTTCCTACAATCTAACTGGCATCTGACTTTCAGTTTTTGAATATTACTTTTCCCCGTTCAAAAAAGACTCCTGATCTTCAGTAGATAATGGTGCTCTATTACAAATGCCCACATCTTGCTTCAACTCCTTTGGCTATCCGGGTTTTCTGATCAGAAAACTCTTCGTGGGATGAGTTTCTTCACAATGTTTTCATCTGGGATTTAATTGATGTTTTGGGAAGCCAGGGAGGCTGCAGACAATCAGAGAAAAATTTGCCAAATGAAAGACAAGGCCAGAGGTGGCCTTCACATGTAGCAACCAGTTTGCCCAACATTGGAAATGTGAGTGTGCACATGTGTGCGGCATCACAAAACATGATACATTAACAAATGTATCACTTAGCAACATAAATTTTAGGTTCGGTTGTAGTCATAAGTTGAGGAATACCTGTGTAGAGTTTCAGTGCTTGTTAAATTTTCATTTAAAATCCCGATGCATTTTACTTGGCAGTCTACGTAGCTTGATAGTGGAAGGAATAACTTTCATTAAGTTAAAAAAAAAAACATATTGCAGATGGCTGATTCTGATTTTAGTGATCCAGAAAGATCCTGAGAATCATTGGCTAACTTTCCGAAACTGTACAGCACTCCATAAATGGGATCAGTGTCCCTTCAGAAAGGACGGTTCTACATACAGAAATAAGCTCTGTTCATGTAGTTTAATTCTAGTACTGCAGTTTTAAAATCTTTCTACTTTTAAAAGAGATAC